CCCCATTACCTCTAAGATCCAATATAATCTCCTTGTTTGGGCATTCAAAGCAACCGCGGGCCAGACCCTGCCTTTCCAGGTCATCCCTCCACTTCCTGTGCAGCCAACCAGGCTTGCTTGCTCTTCCCCATTCATTCCCACACTTTTGAACAGGCTGTCCCTGTGCCTCCAATAGACTCACTCCTAGCCTCCAACTTAGCCAGGCCTGAGCTGCCTTCAGCTGCCAATGTCTGCCCTCCCTGCCTCCCATCCTGCCTCCTCCATCCTGGCACCTTCCCTGCCCCCAGCCCTGCCAGAGCTCTGTAAGCAGTCTGTAGGGAATTGTTGGCATTTTGCCTCTTCCATTAATTAGTCTGTGAATTCCCGAAGAGCAAGGATCATCTTTTGCCTTTCTTTGTATTTCCAGTGCTTAGCACAGCATTCAGTACACAGTAAGTGCTTAATAAATGTTTACTGACCAAATGATTACACTGACTTTGTACAAACTTCAGATTTACTTATCAATGTACAAGTTATTCCCCTACCCAGAACATAAGTTGTCTTCGTATCACCAGGGCCTAGTGTCTGGAATATATTTGGCATCTGATAAATGTGTGCTGAACAAGCAAATGACAGTCTGTGCACAGGAGATTCTAAAGCCTCTTTTTTCTTCTCCACTCCATAACTGGCCTTTGAGAGCCACATTTCGAAACTGGTGGTACCCATACCACATGCTGCAAGCTCACAATTATACGTTCTGGTAGACCAGTGACAAGCCTGGGCACATTTTGGTCAATGCAAAAACTGCTAGTGACCATCAAAGGGCATGGCATGCAAGTACATTGTAGCTCGTCTGCCACTCCCTTTGCCTCTCTCTCTCCCTTTTCTACCTTTCTCATCTTCTTGCTGGTTCTAAGCCAACTGCATCATGTCTAGAGATGACCTCCTTTTAATTCCATAATCTTCAATCTAGAACCACTACATCGGATTCTAATTAGTAGGTTCACCGGCCAGATCATTATAACCCTACTCCGATATCTTGATCATTATTTTGATCTAGGAATGAATCTGTCACATTTATTAACTGGGTAGAAAAGACAAGCTATGGACAAATGATAAAGATATTTTGGGTGTGAATAATTTACTCAACAGAACAGACTTCACCCGAGCAGAAGAGCCAGAGGAAGGTTAAGCTGCCCCATGTTCAGCTTGATCCTGGTTCAATCACCTTTTGAGGCCATGGTTCTCTGGGCCCTTGAATGGCAAACCTCTTTGAGTCTCCAATTGGCAAAGCTGAGGCTCAGGAATCAATCATTGTCTTTTTTCCCCTCTTGCTGATGAACATTGATTCATTTTTGCTAACCAGGCCCATACCACATTTCTCTTCATCAGGCCACAGAACTATCAAGGAAACATTCATTTGTACCAGGGAGCCCTCATATACCTCAATAAAGAATGCCATAGCACCTCAATCAAAAGCAAGTAGAGGGAATTAATTTAACAACCAGAACACAAACTTCTTCCCCTCCTTCTACACTCTGCCACCCACCCACATGAAGGAAAACAATTTGCTTTGAGTATTTATCCACCCAGATGCCCAATTTGATCTCCTGTTGGCTCAACGCCCTCTTCCCTGGTAGCTAGAGAAAGAACAGATTATTGCCATCCGGGAGTTCTACTTGATCCCATCCAAAGGCAAGTGGAAGCAGACTCTCACCATTTTCCAAACTGATTTCTATAATTCAGAGTGAACTTCACCCAAGGCAAGACGCTCCTTTCCCTGTTCTCCCTCTGAGGTATCTGATGCCCATCCATTTTTGTCTCTGCCCTCCTTTTCTAGCATACCTTTAGGAAGGAAGCCCCATTCTGAGTTGAACAAACTTCCCTTTAGCTTAGACGTCTTCCTTTCCCATTCTTTCCACAGTCTCATGTCTACAGCAATCTAGTTTCCCCTGGAAAACATGCATCCCCGCTAATATTTCTCTAGCATGGGGCACTCCTTCCATGTACCTTCTCTTGAGGGGGGGTTTCCAACTTCACTGGGGTTTCTTGACACCATTTCCTCTTGGATCTCCTTGCTCTCTGAGCACTCCTCAGCCTCCTTTGCCAGCTCTTCATTCACATCACTCCTACTGCTCCCGAGGATCTTCTAAGGTTTTGTCCTGGGCCCTCTTCCCTTTTTCTTCTCTAAAGCATCTCACTTGTTGATCTCATTGGCTCCCACAGGCTTAATTATCATATTTATGCATATGGTTTCCAGTTCTCTTCATCTAGCCCTAGTCTCCTTCTTAATCTCCAAACTCTCATCACCAGTCACTTAGAGAACATTTCAACACGGACACAGACATAGGCATCTCACTCAACATATCCCAAACAGAACTCATCAGCTTTCCTCTTCAAAACCCTGCTCTCTCCCCAAATGACTATTGCTGTTGAGGGCACTGTCATCCTTCTAGGCTCCCAGGCTCCCAACCTCACCTTAATCCTTGACTCCTTCTCACCCCACCCCTTCTACTCAATCAACTCCAGGGGCTCCCCACTGCCTCTAAGATCCAACATAACACTCTTAGGGTTAAACTTTCAAATTTCTTCCCAGTCTGGCCCAAACCTACCTTTTTTTCTTTTTGGCTTTTTGGTGAGGCAATAGGGGTTAAGTGACTTGCCCAGGGTCACAGCAGCTAATGAGTGTCAAGTGTCTGAGGCCAGATTTGAATTCTGGTCCTCCTGACTCCAAGGAGGGTGCTCTATCCACTGTGCCATCTAGCTGCCCCTCAAACCTACCTTTCTAACTTTATTCTACATTACTCTCCTCTCCATACTCTATGGTTGGGCCATACTAATCTTCTTGGCGTTCCTTGCACAAAACATTCCATAATCCTGTCTCCACACCTTTGCATAAACTGTGCCACATACCTGGAATGTACTCCCATCTTAACTCTGGCTCTTAGAAACCCTTTGTTCCTTCAAGGCTCAGCCTAAGTGACACTCCATGCATCTTTTCCTAATTCTTCTGGCTACTAGTGCCTATTCCATTTCTAAAAATTGTTTTTAAATTCATATTTATTTTGTACATACTTATTTGTGTGTATGTTGTCTCGCTTGAGAGAACGTAAGTTACTCTTGAAGCTCAGCATCAGGGGAGTGAAGGGCTGTTTTGTCTTTTATATCCCCAGTGTCCATTATGGTGTTTGCCACATAGTAGGCTGGGAAAATATCTGCTAGGGTTCTGCTTGCCCTTGCCCCAATGACTGAGGTTAGTCCATTTCTTTCAGATAGTCCAATAATTTTTAAATTACCTCTCCTGGATTTATTTTCCAGGTCAGTTGTTTTTCCAATGAGATATTTCACATTCTCTTCTATTTTTTTTATCTCATTTGATCCTCACAACAACCCTGAGAGGTGGATGCTATTATTATCGCCATTTTGTAGATGAGGAAACTGAGGCAAATAGGGGTTACGTGGCTTGCCCATGATAACACAGCTAGTCAGAGACTGGATTGGAACTCAGGTCTTGCTGATTCAAAGCCCAGTACTCTATCTGCTGTACCACCTAGCTGTGTAAGATTCAGGGTACTTCACGGGTCTATACTCCTAAAACTAAAGATCATGGATCCCCACTAGTGTGTTTCCCTTTAATAGTCAGCCACTTGCTAGAATTAGGTCAAATAAAAAAAAACCCAAACATTTACTGAAATGGCACAGTACTTACAAAACATCCCTGCCTCCTAGCCTTACAAATATGCACAGCAACAGTGGGAAAAGTTGGCATGTACATAGAGTATACTGGAAGAAAGAGTGTCAAACAACTCAATGTTACCTCCCATCAAGCACCTTGTCTGCTTTTACTCAGGAGCTATTAAAGACTGATGGCTTAAGGCACATATCTATGGTAAGTAAACCCACTACAGACTTCAGTTTGTTTATCTTGACTGGACCCTCATTGGAGCACAGCCATGTTTACTCTTCCCTGATTAACTAGCATTATTAGCTGTTCTAAGTCTTTCCTTCCTAAGTCTTCTAAAATGATCTGTTGCCCTCCCCTGACCTCTGCCCCAGTGTAGACTAGAAAGTTGTATTTCTTTGAGAAAATTAAGGCAATTCACTTGGGGGGCCCCAATCTTCATTGCCAAATCCTTCTGTATCTTCTTCACCCATTCTTTCCTTAATTAACTCAATAAGCATTTATGAAAAATCCACTACATGCCACCCACTGTGCTAGGTTCTGGAAACACACAGGCAAAAATAAAACAGTTCTTGCCCTTAAGGAGTTTATATTCATAGGATCATAGCTTTAGAGACAAAAGAAATTTTAAAGGCCATTAAGTCCAACCCTCTCATTTCATAGAATAGGAGACTAAAACACAGACAGGCTAAATGACTTGTCCAAGGTCACACAGCTCCTAAGTGTCAATAGTGGGGATATGAACCTAGGCCCTCCTGATTCCAAGTAAATCCCTTTATTCTGTATACCATGCTGTCTATAAATTCTAATGGGAAAGATAGGATACAAGTATATACAAGGTAAATGCAAGGTAATTTAGTGGGTAGGAATCAGGAATGAACGAGGTAGTCCAAGGGGAGTGACAGGGCCAGATATGTGTTTTAGGAAACTCCATTTGTAGGGACAGACTGGAGAGGGGAAAGATTTGAGGCAGGGGGGACTAACCTGAACAAAGGAGACGGACACTGGAGAGGTACTGTGAAGGCAGAACCAACCAGACTTGATGCATGACTGGACATAGGAAGGGAAGGAGGACACTGAGGTTTTGAGCCTGGGTGACTGGGAGGATGGTGTGTGGCAGAGAAAGATAATGAGCTCGTCTTGCATATACTGAGTTGGGGATGACTGCAGGACTTCCAGTTGGAAATACTTAACAGGCAGCTGAGAACAGCGCTGCATAAAACTGGAAGATGGGCACATTCTAATATTAGACCAAAAAAAAAGTTCTAAACTTACAAATGCCATCACTGAACTCAGAATATCCCTGCTTATGTTCAGATAGTTGTGCCTCGAAACATACCTTTGTTCGTCTCCATCAGCTGTTTCTTCTTCTTCTGTCGTTCCATCTTTTCTTGCTCAGCTTTCTCTTTGGCAAGCTTGGCTCTCTTGCTCTTCTCCTCTATTTCTCTTCTCTTGTTGTTTTCCTTCACTGCTTCCTGCATTACAGAATACAAAACACAAAATATTCTCATTACTTATGATGGTGGTACCAAAGATTTGGAGGTACTGAAGATTTTTAAAAAATCATGTTTACATGCAGAGAGGGGAGGAACTTCAACTTCCTGAAGATAAATGTGTGTGCTTTAGAGAAAAAATAAGGGAATAATTTATCTCAAGACCATATCTCATCAAGTATGAAATTTCAGAAGCAACCCAAGCTTCAGACAGTATTTCTTGGGGGCCCACACATTAGAAAAACACAGATGTTAAAAATGGATGATGAGAAGTATTTCTTCTTAACAGACTAAAATTCAGAACATGTTTTGATAAACATAAAATGAAGCTTTAACATAATCAACTCTGCTAATAATTCATTATTTCATCACACACCTAATTGTCCTTTTTAAGTATATACCTAATGATCCAGAGAACATAGCAATCCAATATTATTACAGAGATGAAATATCTGTGATTATCACAGTGTTTTAGTATGTTTAAACAAATCATTAGAAATGCAGAAAACATCTTTTTTGCTCTTGGGCCAATAAGAATCAGCAACTTCCAAGGTATAAGGAGACAATATTTCCGGATTTTGTCATTTGTTCTGGAAGTATATTGATAGCTCACAAGAGAATTAGAATATTCTACTAGCTCATCTGAGAAGCTAACACAAAGTGACCAGAAATAGTAGCAAATTGGATTCCTCTTGGATCAGACAGGGTTCTAAAAAGCAAACAAAAAACCCCACAAAAAACCTTGTATTGATATCTTTATTTTTTATAACATCTATGGCAAGCTATCCTTTATAACAAAGAACGAAAATGAGGAAAAAATGTTTAGGAAAATGACATTGAAAAAAATCTGATATTCTAGGCAGTGTTCTACACTGATAATCCCTCACCTCTGCAAAGCAGAAAGAGAAATGCCCTCTCATATTTCTTTTTTTTTTTGGGGGGACCTAGCTTGGCCATTAAAATTTCTCACTAAGCACTTAATAATGCTTTCTCATTCATTCATACATAGAGTACATTGGTTTTTTTCTTCTAGTTCTCCTTACTCGCCTCGGCATCAGTTCATCCAAACTTCATGCTTCTCTATGCTTATTATATTCATTGTTTCTTATTTCAAATTAATATTTTGTTACATTTATGTACCAGCATTTGTTTAGCCAATCCCCAATCAAAAGGGATCAAATTTGTTTCTTCTTTGACAAAAAGTGCTGCCAATCAATATTTTGGTAAACGTAAGGTCTTCTATCACTGACCTCCTTCAAGCACCCACCTTGCATTGTGATCTCTGGATAGTTTTAATCACTTTCTTATAATAATTCCAAATTTATTCCTAAAAGTCTTGGACAAACTCACAGCTCCATCAATAGCCCATCTTTCTACAGCCTCTCCAATTTTTAACTCTTCTCATCTTTTATCACATTTGCCAATTTGCTGTATATGAGATGAAACCTTAGAATTGTTTTGATTTCTATTTCTGTTTTTAGTGATTTAGAGCATCCTTTTATCTCGATGATTATAGTTTGTAATTCTTTTGAGAACTGTTTGCCTATATCCTTTGATTACTGACCTATTGGGGAATGACTTTTGGTCTTCATTATTTCATTGGTTGCTTATATGTCTTATATATTAGACCCTTATCTAAGATATTTGATTCAAGTGTTTTTCACTAGTTGATTATTTCTTTTTTAAAAAAAATCTATTTTCATTAATTGTCCATGTAAAACGTTTTCATTTATTTGGTTTGGAATTCATCCCCTAGTTATAGTTATGAAAGGTATCTAATTTGACTCTCTTCTGTACTTTTTATAGCATGATCTTTAATATTCAGGTCATGTAATCATTTTGAGTTTATTCCAACACACTGTACAAGATGTTTGTCTAAACCCAATTTCTGCCACAATACTCTTTAGTTCCCCCAACAATTCAGATTAGTTGCTAGTATAATAAAGTATCAACTGTAAGATCCTACCATGAAGCCCTCATTTTTTTCCTGTTATGACTGACTAGAGAAACTTTATGTCATGTATACACTCTAGCACTCAAATTACTTTGGTCCAAAACCACAAAGAAAAGGAATCATTACTGCAAGTACATATATGCATATGGCTTCAGCTAGGAAACACAAATATTTACGTCTTTTACCTGATTCTCTTAAAAATATGGAATTCTCCTAAAAAGCTGTTTTAACAGCTTTTTAAAGAGAATCACAAACTCTTTGCTACGAAATCTATCAATTCCAACCTACACCTGAATAACAGGCTACCCTTTACCTCATATGAGGAAGGTCACTCGTCCAACTATCAATGAGGTTGAAAACATGACCTCCCCGAGAAGCCAATTCCAACAGCTCCAACTGTTATATCAAGCCTAAATTTGCCACTTTCCAATTTTCAACAGTGTTTAAATCTGTAGAGAGTTATGAAGGATAGGGACTGAGAAAAAACCATAACAATCAATAATTAAAGGACCATGAATAACTGAGGAAGCATTCTGGTCTGCCGGGTTTCCTTCTTGGGCAACTCTTTCTCCATGTTTTTTTTTTCTCTATAACATGTGAGCTCTTCCTCTGTTTATTTGTATCTCTGGCCTCAGTTTCTGTTTTGGGATTCTGTGACAGGGACAGGCTCCAGGCCTTCTCATACTCCTGATTCCCTCAGTCAGGCCCTGTGTGGTCCTGCATGACTTTTATTGGCTTCCACTAACCTTGGCGCATCTACTCAGAGCACTGCTGAGCTCCAGGGCTTGTGGTCAGAGCTGTACACTTAGCTGCCCTTGTCATGGTACTGCTGTGGTCTTTGGGCACCCCTGTGGCATCCCTGTCTTCTCTAAGGCTTCCCTGGTAAGGTGCTGTCACTTCCATGTCCCCCAGGGGTTCACGTGTCAGGGTGCTACTGTGCTCTTCGGTCATCCCTGGACTTTAACCAATGAACTGAAGCGGAATCAGGCCATTATCACAAACCAATCTCTTGCTCCATTTGCCCAGACATAACATTGGTCCATAAAAACCTTAAGAGCAATAGTTTAAATGGATTTTGTCATCCTAAAGATGTGTGATCTCTAAGTTACATGTAAAGAAAAGCTTTGGAAAGAGAGAGACCTAGTAGAAGAGCTCAAAACCATACAGGAACAGATGACAACTATAGCACCTCCATCAACCTCTCTGCTACTAGAGGCATCCCGACGATGCTGCTAGTGAGCCCAGAGCAGGGACTTTATGTCTGAATACTTTTACTCAACTTCTCAAAGCAGTTATTTCATCCACCTGTGCAATAGTCTGTACAACCCTAAATATAAAGGCATGCTGACAGGATGATGGCCTGTGCCAGAACCATTTTTATTTGAATCTCATCAAAAAGGAAGAGAATGAAACAAGAAAAAGAAAAGCTGATATATGCATAATGCTTTAAGGTTGACAGAGCACTTTCATACACATTACCTCACTGAATCTTCAAAACCACCTGGGGAAACAGGTCCTAGTAGTACGCTCATTTTACACATAGGGAAACTGGAGCACAGAGAAGTTAAGCAACTTGCTAAGGGACATACAGATAGGAAGTGATTGAGACAGGATTTGAATCTGGCTGTTCTTGATTCTAAATCCAGCTTTCCAGGCACCCAGCTAGAGTGTTTTTTTTTCTAATCATCTCAACTATTAATAATAATAATAAACTTCTGAAATAAAAATTTTATTAAAAATAGAGGGTAACAAATGACCAATGGTAAGACATTAAAAACAAAACTCTAAACTCCCAAATAATGGGCTGCGATCAACACCAGGAATCTTTACACATCACTAGGAGGTAGCCATGCATCATTATTGCTTAGTGGATGGGAACACCAAATGCCTAAAGTTGTTTTGTGGTTTGGGATTATGTCATGGCTAAAGGGTGCTGAGAACATGCTTGAACAGCAGACTGATAAAAATATAAATGCATTTGCAAAAAAAATAAACTTAGAAACAAATCTATTTTCCAAGAATTGGGGAAAAGAAGCAAAGTAACAAAAAATTTACTGCAAAATATATTCATCAACCTCATTTTAAATCTCTTGCTGCAATCTCTCTTGCTTTGCTGAAAAAATACGAATAAATTAAAAATCTTATTTCCCTTGCTGTGCATAATTAACAAATGAGACCTATGGACTAAAAATGTCAAATGCAAAAACGCTCATGTAAATGCTAAGACCTCTCATTTATTCCAATTAGGCTGTTAAGAAATGGATGAAATGGGTTCAGAAAATTCCAAATAGTTCACATCTAAGGGGAGCAGCCACATGCAGGTCACTTTTTAATCTGAAGCTGCAAGAATGTCTTTCTGACTTTACTTAAAAACAAACATTACAAAATTGGCTCTTCAACATTGTTCCCCTCCCTTTCCTTTGTCAGCCTATAGTTTCAGGGTCAGTTTCAGAAAATCATGGCAAATTTTGTAGGATAATATATGCTTCCCCATCCCAAGGAGGTTCTGCTGGAGAGATCCAATGTGAACATGCTATTTGTTGTAGCTCTTGAGTATGTTTTCCTGATTGTTTAATTAAGAATACATGACTATTTTTGTATATTTCAACCTCATTATACATCACTCCCTACCTGCCCTCTAAAGTCCAGTCTCTCTCTTCCACTCTAGTCTTGCTCAAGTTGGATATCCTGCAGTCGTCTCAAAGTCAACATATCCAAAACTCGTTTTCCTAGCCCCCCAAAGTAATCCTTTGGTAGTTTCATTGTTATAGTACTGAAGAGACAAATAAATTTAGGTTGTATTGGCATTTTTATTATATAGGCTTTGCCTATCCATGAAAAACCAATTGCTTCAATTATTTAGGTGTGTCTTTATTTCCCAAAGAGTGTTTTATAATTATATTCATATAGTTCTTGTGTGAGTCTTAGTAGGTAAACTCCCAAGCATTTTATATATTCTGTAGTTATTTTAAATGAAAGTTCTCTTTTGGAGGTAAGTATCTTGTCTCCCAAAATCTCCCTTCTTCAC